ATCCTTTTGGCACCCCTAGAAAGTGTCATTTCGGAGCTAAACCAGCTTGAAACACGACTTGAGCAAGTTGCATTCAAAGCCTCTATGATTTACCACTAAATACGAACACTAACTAGTGCACTAAATACTGGATGCAAAGCACGATAATACAAGGTGATTCATTATTACTCCGGATTTGTTACCGTAGCATCACTATTTCAATTGCTGTTGCTGAATGGTAGGCGCGGAGAAAACAACCTACTGCATGTGGGCGATAACTTTCCGCTGCGGACCAACACCAGCTTTACCGATACAACTGCATGTTGCTAGACCTGTCGGCGCTCAAACTGAGCCCGATGCACTGGTACATGAGCGATGAGAGTCGGTAACTTTCTCCAGCTTGCTCAGGAGTCATCGTGGTTTCGGTCGGAAAGCTGACAGCATGCTTGAGGCCGTGCCTTTTGAGCTGGCAATTAGGGCAGAATAACCCCAACATGACATGCGCCACGCCAGCGAACATCAGCGGACCACCAGGTCTCCATCGCGTCCATGATAAACGTGGACATCTCGACTCGCCACGTTCTGCTCGCACTGAATCTACCCGTCCGCTGGTTGCTTGGCAGGTTGTGGACGTCGTCCCCGAACGCGCTGGCGGCTAAAATGTCACACAAGCCGATGCGAAGACCCGAAGCTTGATGAGCGAAGTGGCGAGCGCTCGAAGAACATTTGAGAGGAAGTTGGAAAGTTGAAAAGTGATTGATTGATCCGTTAGTTTAGCGTCGGCGCGCCGCCGCCGCGCAACCAGTAGTTCTTGGCGACCAGGACACGCAAACAAGTATCCAGGTCCCATCCTAAAGTCTATCAATCTCAAATCCTAGATCAATCCTTTTCTACCAATGAAAAAATACTAATCCTATTCGTAGCTTGGCCAAAATTTGTGACTTGCGTCCCATAATCAAAAGTCCGGCTGGAAAACTTGATTGTTGCACATCTCGAGGATTTACAGCCAATGAGGTCGCGCGAATGTCCATGTTTACGCGTCTCATAATCAAGTTTACTTTTGACACCAGCCAATAGGATATCATATAATGAATATAAACCATGCATCCCCGTATTACGCTGTCCAGCGCAAACTGAAGTGCTGTGCAGCAGCACTTGACGTGGGAGTCCTCTGCCATCTCATTGGCAGACGGACGTCCACGTCACATGACCTCCCTTCCAAGAAGGCCCCACTACTTTGAAGCTGCACTTTACTTCTTCTTGGAGTCCCAGTACTTGTCAATGAGCCCTGGAATCTGATTCAGGTTCTCTACGGGTTCCCATGTAGCGTCTTCTCGGGGTTCACCAAGCCACCAAATCCGATATTGGAGCGTCTTCTTCCTGCGACGGTGGCCGATGACTTCACGTACAAGTTGTCCCTCTGAGCCATCATTCAAGATCACCTTGTTAACATTTTGGCTGCGTGATTTGTCGCTGCGATACGGCTTGAGCAACGAAGTGTGGAAAACGGGATGCAACTTGAGCCCCTTCGACAACTTCAGCTCGTAGGAGTCATGATGAACTTGCTTCACGACCGGGTAAGGACCAATAAACCTTGGCGCAAGTTTCTTCGCCTGTGCAAACCCCTTGTGACGAATGTCCAAGTTCCGTCCATCCAAAAGTACCATATTCCCGGGTTTGAAGTCTTGAGCAAGTCTGTTCTTGTCATGATACGACTTCATTCGAGTTTGCGCCTCACTCATCGCGTCTTGTGCCATTTTCAAAATTGCGTCTTGCTTGAGCAGGAAATCTTGTGCTGACTTCTGCAACTGCTCAAACTCTTGGTCCCCAGCCACCTCATCTGGCATATAGGGCACATAACCCAGATCAGCCTCAAACGGTGACATACCGATCGAGGAATGGACACGTCTGTTGTACGCGAATTCGGCGAGATGTAGGTATTCATCCCAATCATTCTGGAATGGGTTCACGACACCTCGTAGATAGTCTTCAATAAACCGATTAGTACGCTCGGTCTGACCATCCGTTTGCGGGCGGAAGGCGGACGACAAGTTATGAGTCGTCTCTAATGTCTTAATCACCTCCTGCCAGAACTTTGATGTGAATTTCGAGTCACGGTCTGAGACGATCGACTTCGGCACTCCATGGTCTTTCACATAATTGGCCATGAATAGCGCAGCAGTCTCTTCTGCTGTCGCCGCCGTGTTCGTGGCAATGAACTTAGCACGTTTCGTCAACCGGTCCACAATAACCATAATGGCGTCTTTTCCGGCTGCCATCTTCGGTAGTGCAACCATGAAGTCCATCGTCACATCAATCCATCTGCCTCCTGGAATCTCCAACGGTTGAAGTAGTCCCGGCGGCTTCGTTTGGCGTGCCTTGTTTCGCTGACAAAGCTCGCACGTGTTCACATAACGCTGAATGTACTTCGACATCTTGGGCCAGTAATATTTCTTCTGGATGCCTAAGTATGTCTTGAAGTACCTGCCGTGACCACATCGTGGTTTTCACAAATAACACGGTTCTTCAGATCTTCATTGTCCGGAATTACCAGTCGTGCATTTTCATCATCTCTCGTTTGGTAATACAGCAGTCCATTCTTCACAGAGTAGCGTGGTACCTCTTTACCACTAGCGATACTCTGCAACAGCTCCTGAACTCTTCGATCTGT